AAAATACTTACTTAGTATATTCTGCAGAGGAAAAAGGCTTCCTATGGTCAAAACGCATCTGCTTTGACGCAGTGAGCTTTATCTTTGGACATTCATATCTCTGACGTGTATATATACTGCATTTTTGGCCATTTTTTGGCCATTTTCCCGGCTCTTGTATATTTAATTTTAGCATTATTTCATGTATATATTTTTATATTGTATAAATAAACTTTGTTTGATATAAACAGATTTAGAGTCCTATATCTCTGGAGGCTGCAGAGGATACCAAGGTTTGAAAAGGCACCCATGTGCAACTTATATAGAGACTGATATGGCTCTTAGTCATGTGAGTGACATTATTCCCATATAACAGCATACATATACTGTATACAGATTGCAGTATGTGTGTTTTCTTAGTATTTATCTCATTTGAGATGCCTGATTTAGTTCTGGATACCATATACACTAAGTATTTCTGTGTATGTACACACTGGGTGTTAATTTGCATTTTTAGGATGTTTCGGAGTTGGGGAAGCAGATTTTTGTTGCATACACAGTGTACTACAATTATTTGAGGTGCTGACACACTTTCTTCACTTTTTTGTTTTTATACATATAATAAATATTTAAATTGTAATATCAATTTCCTAAAATAATGCAGAGTCTCACAATGACTCTTTTTAGGGCGTTTTGGAGGCTAAATATCCTATAATACATAGTGGGGTAAAACAATTACAAATATTAGGTGCTTATACATTGCTGAGAGAAGTATATTCACTGCTGTGTAAATACGTCTGGCATTGTCCCCTCTTTCACAACAACCCATCCATAGCTGGCAGACAATATCACTGTCATTATAATAAAATGCACTTTAAATAACTTAACACGCATTATATACACTATAGCATAGGGAAAGACTTCATTCTCATTCCTTTTTTTAATTTAAAAATACAAATTAAATCTTATTCTCATTCCATGAGGGGGTTAGAAGCCAGTGATAATTAGATCCAATGCGCAAACAAAAAAACTAAACTGTGATAAATGAAATATTTAATGTGAATAGATTTGTTACAACAATAGAACAGGCCGTGATTAGATTTTCAGCAGAATTCCGAGGAAAGCATAACGAAGGATGAGATACAATGCATTCAGGATTTAACATTAATTTCATTATTAATGTAAAACTAATTAAAGCAAAATGCATTGTAACCATGTGAAAATAAACTGCAGGGCTAAAACACCCTTATATTAATACATTCAGGTCATTTTAGATTATTACATCACGCAGGTAATTAACAAGTAAAAGTTATGGTTTATTAATTCAGCATATTATAATATTACCAATCAGTAGCTTTATTAAATAAAAGCTATGCTTCAGCTGATAATGAGCTATTTCAAACTGACATATGAGTGCAAGTAACGACCTACCTGGATAGGCAATTACTAAAACCAGTGTTTTATTGTTACAGTCAGCCTTGCTGTGCTGAACCGCTCCCCTCCCCACAAATGAAAAAAAAAATTAAATATAATAAACTAAAGCTTTAACTTACCTCTGCAGTGTTCATTTTGTCAACTAACAATTTAAGTTGACTAAAATGTGTGAGATTTAGTCGACTAAAACTAGACTAAAACGAAAATAATTCAGATGTATAAAATACAACTAAGACTAAAATGGCTTTTACTCAAAAGACTATGGCTAAAACTAAATTGAAATTTGCCGCCAAAATTAACACTGTACCTCTGTCCCAATGCCAAGGCCACGTTCTTGCCATCGATGTCACTTTCCTCGCTGAAGGGGGACAGAAGCAGGGCCGGACTGGCCCACCGGGATAAGGGGAATTTCCCGGTGGGCCGTCGGCACCTGGGGCCGGCCCTTTAAATACTGCAGC